TGCACCGTTTCAGCAAATTCTTCTGTTTCGAATTCCGACTCCGAAGCTGTACAGTTTCTTGGCACAAATCAGCAACCAAATCGATAGCTTATTATTGAAATATATTTTTCACTTACGTCGAAGGGCACTTACTGCCTTTTACTGCATTAGTGGTTGCAGTCAGTTGGAGATACGACAGAAATTTTAACTCCTTCTGACTAATGTTCTGTCTAGCCACTTAGTGCTGAGCACATAATTTATTTGTCAGTTGACTGTAATAGTAAGCTTGGGCATTTAGAACCTGTCACATTGTTTGTTCTCGTTAAATTATTTGTTTTTTTCTTAGTCCGCTATTTGTAGTACGGGTTTGACCTTTCGACTATAATGGTAGTCATATTGGTCATGTTTTGTCTTTTCCAGACCCGGATTTATCAACTATCAAACCATAGTGGGTGACAACCCAAATTCGATATGCAAGCGTGCGGATTAAGGCAAATTCCCTCTTAAGATGATTTTTGTTCGATACTTAACCTGTACATAATATTAGGGCTGATGATTGCGATGATGCAGATCCGATAATTGTTTATTCGTTTCGAAATTCTCTTCATTAAAATTAATTCTGGAATTGAGCTTGGTAGCCTAATACACCCAGATATATTACAATGGGACTCATAACATAACAGATGAATAATAAATATGAGCGTGCAATAAGTACTCCCCTACGTGCTCCCTCGGGGAATAACGGCCGTAATGTTATGACATGTAATTCTATGTTGATATGGAATTGGTTATGGCTACGATATACTTACATACGTGCAGGCTTATAGATGGTAACCATAGTTGACTTGTTTTATTTAGGCGTATTATCATTTGTTTATTTGGTAGTTCGTGTGGTTCAAATTGGATTTTCTAGTTGAGAACAGTCTTGTAGCTTTCGATTCCCAAAATTTCAGTTATGGCAGTAAGTTCAAAATCGTGTTCGATATGTGACAATTACTTTATAACATATTACAAATGTCATGGTGACCCGGAGGTTAACGCCCGCTTTTCATGTATGAGGGCGCGGTTTCGAAACCTACCAATGACAAGCACCAATGTGACTTTTTCTGAGTTATATGTACTTTCTAAGATTATCTAGACACCACTGACAAACGGTGAAGGAAAACGTCGTGAGGAAACTTTTATAATTCCTAATTATACGTTTGTAATCGCCAACTCGCATTGAGCAAGCGTGGTGATTAATGTTTAAACCGTTTCAACCGTGTCAGCAGCGGCCACTGATAGGCTGTTAATGGTGATGGTGATGATAATTATTACAAAGGAATAAAATAAAAACAAAGTTGGTGCCATATTTGATATATGCAGCTGCCTCTAGCTTCAGAAAATAAATGATGTTACTCCTATTACCACGTGACCTTTTAGTACACCACCTCTGGTTTCACAAGCCTCAATTTCAAAGCAACTTGGTGAATAATTCCGTCTGCCTACAAAATTGTGTATATGCAGGCACTTTACGTTAGATGGATGAAACGCAGTGAAACCTGTCAAGTGGTTTCAGATGCATATCACCAGCAAACACGAGATGTCAGCCAAAGGGAATGAGAATTTGATTGCTGATTTTAGTCTGAATATCGTTGTTATACACCTATTATGTATCTAAATCGTAAATATGACGAGCGTAATTATGTTTTCGAAATTGTAATCGATGTTTGGATGTAATATTGATCTAAATTTCAAAATGGATTGATAACATAACATTGTAGAAGGCGTCAGTTTTGTAACTATTAAATTTCTTCAATTGACAACAAAACAGCTTCAGGTGTGAGAGAGGTTAACAGGGGGCATCCAACACCCATTTCTCAAAAGGTCAGCATCGCACGTGACTCCTCTAGTACAGGCCAACGACACCCATCCTTGTGTGGTGCTGATCCATCTGCTCCTTTTGCTCCTGTCCTGTTAAAAGTACTTCTATAATCTAATTTAAGTAAAATTAACTTAACTAAAACTTCGACGTCTTCCAGCTCCTAATAGACTTTTCTATCTACGAGTACATATATGTACATACGTCTTGAATGAAATATACACCGACTTCTTATAGTCTACACGGGATGAGTTTCTAGAGAACACGTAGTGATGCGATTTGTGAGCTCACTAACATGAGCTACTGCAAACTGTAGCTGAAAGCAGACCAACTCAAAACTTGGCTAACTAGAAGCTAATGTGTAGCGCTCAAGCTTAAACTAGTAAGCGAATACGGTTGAGTGATTCACTCCTAACATGTTTCAATGTAAGGATATCTTGGTGTGTTTATACGTCAACTAAATATTTGTTATGTTTGTAAGTTTGGTAGACCATAATGAAGATTGTTAACGTTTTGAGAAATATGTGTAGCTATGAAGCCTTCAATGTTGCGAATTGATCTGTATACTCAGTTTTGTCGTACAATCAAAATTGGCCGAAATATATGCGTTTAAAGTTTTGATGACTTGCATTTTTCATACTAAGTTAACGTTGTACTGTGACGTCATAGCACAACGTCCCATATATTGTGCGTTGTTAACATACTGGAGGTTTACTTAGTTAGGCTTTTTTTGATACAAATACGTAGGTACTTTTTACTTTTTAAATTTTACGTTACAGTACCTAACATTCTCAGTTACGCTCTGTAAAATATGAAAACTATTGTAAAAAATGTTACGGATTTTAATAATTAATATGTTTGTATATATGTGTGTGTGTGTCGCGGAGAACCTAACGGGTAACCGGGGCTCCGGCTCGACGTGCAGGAGAAGGAACGGGGTGGTTTTTAGTCAGTAAGAGTCTAACACTCCCTCCCGCCTCACCCAGACGGGAGCAGTCATTCGATGATTTTCCCCCCTTAAAGCCCCGGTTACTCGTTAGGTTCTCCGCGACTCCGAAGGGACTGTGCACTGCGCTCACTCATAATACTCATAACACTCATGATGTTTTTATGCAGATTTAAAAGAAATAAACAGAGACATTTCCAACATCAACCTTTAATGAAATTATAAATGATTAATTAATAAATTACTTTACAAAGAATTACCTATTTACATTGAGTTACCTAACTTATGTATAATATTTACGTGAACATACAAAATACACAAAAATGTGATAGTTTATTAAGATTTACATTTGTTTGAAATGTTGAATTCACTAGAAAATATTGTTTGTTAATAATTTTACCACAAATTGAAACAAAGGTTTTATGCTAAATACAATTTTTAAAGGTGTCTGAAATAAAACTACACTAGATAAAACATATATGATTTTCAGTTTTCAAAGACAATTATAGCCCATAGGACTTACATTTATAACTCTAACACCAAAAATATGTCAGCATATCCTTTTTGTGACCAAAAATGTATTTTAAAATGTTCGTAAGCTTTACCCAGTTTCAAGCGCTAAGAAAAATATAGCATAATATTTCAACAAAATGTATCGAGGAAATTCTTAAAAGCAGTTATTTTTCACTTATTCGATACTATCTGTATCCTATTGGCGTACGTCCAAAGAACTGTTACTGTCTAAACGAATGGTATTTAACAATTTTTTATGTACCTCTATACCCCTGTTGACATAGCTTTGGGATCCACATAAGTAATTTAATATCCCTTTTGTAAGTTTACTGTTGTCGTGTCATCATGACTTTGTATTACAGTTCATAGATTTGCTGGTGTACCAAAAGCTAGTGAATTTTTCTCGTAGTAGCTTATGAATGATATAACATACTATTGTACAAAATCACAATGTAAGTAAGGTACAAAATAACCTGGCAGATAATGTAATTAGTAATCAAAGTAAATATTACAATGAAGAAACTTTTGTGGTAAAATTAGCTCCTAAATTGTTTAATTTACCTCTAAACAATCTGATTGAAACATTAGCATTTAGGATTGTTTGTGCATTAACAGAATATCTAATATTAACACAACCTCAGAGTTGTATGTAGTGTTTCAATTAAACGCTATGTTTGCGGTCAGTGCTGGGATGTTTACCCACAAAATACTTGAGCTACAAAACAAAATAGTTTTAAATGGAGGAAATAAACGTTCACTTGATAATGGACGGGGCCCTATTTTACTGATTCAATTTACCCTTCAAATGTGCTTGGGTATACCTTTTGTGCCATCGCAGTCCTTTTTATTTATGCTATCTTTATTTAGGGTAACGATTTTTAAACCAGTTACTGCTCACATGACCTACAAAAGAGTTCATAAGATTTTCTAAAAGTCTCTCGACTTTTTCTAAGCTTTCTCGTTCCTGTGTTAGTAGACCAAGAAGGTTAAAGAAAGAAAGAAGAAAGAAAGAAAAACTATTTATTTATTAAAGCAATTTGTCTCCGTATTACTGCAGTTTATGCATGCGACGTTCACTGTGCGAATAATGGAACTATTGAACTGTGACGATAATTTACATTTTTATTATTCCTCTACATCGAGTCACCGCAAAGACTGCGTACTATAGTGTGAATAAATTGTTGATAAAATTATGTAAACATTCTTTTTTGCGAATCTATATTTTCCACTATGTATAAAAGACGGTGGTGGATAAGTATAAGTCATAGCCACATGAACCAATTACTTGTCAAACTTAGTTACTTTTGACCCAGTAATGTCTATTGATTGTTGTCATAGTCATTTCAATACCTCGATGATCTCGAAGTCAGCCTCGAAGATATTTTACGTTTTTAAAAACGTTACTATGATATATCAGGTACCTCAGAAATCATATAAAAATGAGACATAATTGTGTTCTATCATTCACGTTCGAAGTGAAAATTACAATAAGAAAGTTCCAGGGTTATCTGCAATGTTGAAAAGAACTTAAATCCCTCTTACAATCAGGCTCCTAGTTCCAGAAACATACATTTATCTCTTGCCTCGTCCATTATCATCAAGTGAGCGTTCTTCTATCATTATAGTGACATTGGCAAAAGACATCTTATCATTATAATTTATACATAATACATCCAAATTCACATTCCTCTTAATAATTATTATGTACTTGTATTATATACAACTGATTTATTTTATGAATATCTCAAATATTTACATAAAGTTCTTCAATAGATCCGCAACAATATAAATCAATTTTCATGATGAGAAAAATCCAAGTTTCCTTTTAGAAAAGTATCCTACGATAAAATTTCATTTTCCAAGATAAATTGCCTATCGTAATTATACTTATAGTTTATATCACATTTTTTACATAGAATTATATTACTATTTACATTTTCATAAGGTCTTTCGGATTCAAGAAGCGAATGTATTTACATAAGGATGCTCATTTTAGTTTCTGGTTGAGTTTTATTTACATTCTTAGTACTCATATAATATGAATGTTTCAAGAAAATAATGGAGCTTAGTAAACAAGAATTTTAATATTCCTTTAAGAAGAACAAAGTAATATATTATATACGTCTCCATTCAGTTAGTATTTACAGTTGCGTGGTCCATATTAATACCATAAAAGCTGTCAGAAAGACGGGAACGTTTGAGCCGATCGATGTCGTTTTAGAAGATTGGATTAAGTTCCTGTAATCTTTCGCCTCATTTTGTGACGGGTAGGTGTACGTCCTGTCGGTCACACTTTTAACGTCCTGCGGGCATGGCAACGTTTCCACTGGGATTTGAAGTAATGTCCTCTCATTTTCACCCTTAACAGCTTTTGGTTCATCAACGTAAGCGTCGTCTGTTTCGTCTTGAAAAAAATCATCCGGATTATCCGAATAATCTTTTATTTGACTTTTGTCATCGCTATCGTACAAATTGTTTGATCCGATAACGCTCCTTTCGAAATAAGTAAAGTGTGAATTTAACGAAGGCTCCACGTTGAATTTGCAAATGAAATTTTCGAGAGATGTTCGTACTTTGACGCTTTTGGCCTCGTGACGAAGCTTATGCATCCATGCGAGATGACAGTCGCACGGGAATTCGTTGCCTGTAACAATTGACGCGTTAATTAATTCCCTAATTGGAGTAATGACGATGTTTGAGAGTGCCGTCTGTTGAAACTAATTGATTTTTATTCGATTATTGAAAATATTTCTCCTATAACGAAATAATATTCGTATCAAAACAAATTAATTAAACTCATACAATTTAAGAACAATCAAAATAAATTGTAGTTTACGTACCTTCCAAGTAAATGTAGCTATTTGGATTCTTCATGTTGTCATAGATTGGGTGGAGGTTCTCGGATGTGAACCTCTTTAATTTGTTATGTCTTAGGTCTAAAGCGGCCAGTCCCCTGACCCCTTCAAATAGGCTGCTGGCCAAAGTTACAAGTTTGTTATGACTTAAACTCAACTTCCTTAATTGTGATAATCCATCAAACGTCCTCTGGGCCAAAATATAAATTTCATTATAATCTAGCAACAATGTCTGAAGATTCCACAATTCAGTAAATGTAAATGAATTTAGTTTGGATAATTTGTTTCTTCTTAAATCTAATCGCTTTAGATTTGCAAGTCCATAAAAGCACTCCTTCTTGAGATCGCTTATATTATTTCTATCGAGTTCTAAGTCAATTAAGTTAACTAGATGTTTGAACGCTCCGTCGTGAATGACGGTAATGTTATTACTAGTAAGATATAATTTCTGAAGTGCCGGTAGCTCGTAGAACACTTCAGATTCTAGTTCGACTATTCTGTTCTCATCTAAAGTAAGTATCGTTAAATTTGGCAAATTATAAAACGAATGTTTGCCAAGATAGACTATTTGATTCTTAGTTAAAGTCATTTCTTGTACAGATGTTACGTTGACGAATGTGTAGCTCTCTATCTTGTGTATAGAGCTGTACTTAATACTGAAGTGTTTAACCTTTCTCAAGTATCTTAGGACTTTTGATGGTACAAAGTCTAGTCCTCCATCTGCTCTTACATTGAAGGCTAGGGTTTCTATATTGGATTGGGATGTGAAGCTTGCCCATAGTGGATCCGTTCTCTCTATCCCTCCATTGAAGACCCAGCATTCTGTTTTTACTGCTTCGTTGATCTCTTGACTGAACTCGCAGTAGCAGTGTACCTTTGAGTCCCGATCGCTGATGTCACATATATTTATGGTCGCTGGTAGTATTTTTTCCTTTGTTTTTCTTCTGTTAGCATCAAGTGCTTCTATTGCAAATAGCAACAGTAGCAAGGTAGCGGGTACCTTCGGAGCCCGCATACCTCCTACCTGAAACAAAGACAAACGGAATTAAGTAATTAAATTTTGCCTTCTACTTACATCAAAAGTGGACTCGTGGATTTTATTATTTGTTTTGTCTTACGCAGATGCTTTTAATGTTATGTTTTTTGTTGTTTTGATAATATGGCGGTGTACTTAAACTTAATCGGGACAAGATATAAGAATATTTTTAATTTTATTACTCTGTTATAACCCTTGTTATATTATGCTGACAAAATTGATATTTGAAGACATTTATAACGAACAATATCGTCGCGGCAGTCTGGAGGTTTTAGACGTCCGCGTCTCATGCATGAGGGTGCGGGTTCGAAACCTACCAACGGCAAGCACCAAGTTGACTTTTTCCGAGTTATATGTACTTTCTAAGATTATCTAGACATCACTGACAAATGGTGAAGGAAAACATCGTGAGGAAACCTGGGCTTATAATTTGTAATTATAAGTTTGAAATTAAACCGCATTGAGCAAGCGTGGTGATTAATGCTCAAACCGTTTGCGTGTGAGAAGAGGCTTTGGTCAGCAGTGGGCATTTATAGGCTGATAATGATAATATTAAGGAACAATCGCACATTTGTTTAATAATAGTATCCATAAAACTGAAATCACGAACGATAACCATATATTCATGTAGTCATTAAATAAATAAACAAATGTTAAATCCGATATTTCCCTATTATTTGTTTGCACATTGCTTCGATAGTAGTGTATTTGTTATAGATATATTAGATACATAGTGTATTTGCTGCACAAAGGAAATGTATACGTAATCTATAATATGCATAATTAGTTTCACTATGAGCTTCATTAAATTAGTTACGCTAAACTAAACTAAATGGATAAACAATTAAACACGTCCATCATACCTTGCTATTTTTTATTATAAAACAAGGAGGACGCTTACAATTTGATAAGAATATCTTTTAATACCAGGACAGTTTTACTGCCCTTTTCCACGTAATAACACAAAATATCTAATAATAAAAATAAGTAGCTTCTAAAACGTAATCTCAGTATTAAATTTGTAAGCGAACCTTACAAATGAGTAAGCAGCTTAAGAAGCAATATTATGAAAATAAAAAAGAAACCAACATTCGGAGTTTCCAATTACAAATACCGGATTTCAGAGGCGATTAAGAAAAATGTATAATGAATGTTTTGAAGGCATTTTAATTAAATTATTATAATATGAACTGTTTGCTTTTATTATGTCCCGCCTTGATTTTTGAAGCCCGGAAATGGAACAGATAAAAAATGAAATGTAATTATTCGATATTCTTTTAATTGGACGTTTGCAGTCAGTTGCTCTTTTCCTTTTTTTCGATGGCTGAACGTAATTAATTGCCCAGTGTAGACGTATGAAGATTAAATAAAAAGACTGGTCGGTGTTGGAAATGGCAAAACGAATATGTCAGCGTTCTGTGAAGTATAATTAACGTTACCTTGGAAAATGAGGATTTATGGTACTTTGATCGGAATCGCTGATAGTTTTAACGGTAATATGTGGGAGAGCTATGCTTCGGCACGAACGGTCCGGCTTGACCGGAGTAATACCACGGCCTCACAGAAAACGGACGTGAAATAACGCTTGCGTTGTGTTTCGTCGTGTGAGTGAGGTTACCGGAGGCCCAATTACCCGGGTCCCTAGTCTCCCGAATCCCCAAATCCTCCACAATCCTCAAATTCCCAAAAGGCCGGGAACGCACTTGTAACGCCTTGCTTACCATCAGGTGATCCGTCTGCTCGTTTACCGGCTTATGCTATAAAAAAAATCGGCAAATTGTTCATTGGGTATTTTTATGTCATTATTATTCAGTGATCGATCGACTTCCGCTAAGAACAGTCGCGTCGCACACATTCTCGTGCTAGATTATGTTCAAGTGTAGCGCTGACGCAGCAGCCTACCGTTCATTACCTCTAGCCGTGCGCGGTCGCCGCGATGACCCAGTTACCGAAAGTGTTGCACAATTATTTGTATAAACAAAGTGTTAAGGCGAAGTTATTCTAATAATCATGGCTTCGTCATCCTCAATTAAAATCAAAACTGAAACGGAACATCTGTTGTATAAATATTATACCGAAGAAAAGTTAGAACGCGAAAAGTTGCAAAGTTTAGTAAATGACCTCAAAAGCCAATTAGAACAACTACAGCATCAGCTTAAAACCATCCAGGAGCAAAAAACTTCAGACAAGAAAAATGTCACTACCGAGAAGCCAATGCCAATCGAGTATGAGACAGACGAAGAAGAACTAGCAAAGGAAACAGAGTGGGTACGACAGAAGAGCAGAAAAAAAAGGAAATTGAACTCGTCATCACTGTCCTCACCAACTCAACAAGGAGACGATCCTAGCCAGAAAACTAAAGAAGCTAAAATAAAGAAACAGCCCACACCACCACCTATAGTTGTGGAAAATGTCAAGAACTACCAAGAGTTCTACGACCTTCTTTCAACTAATGTAACGAAAGACTCTTTCGTTACGAAAATGATGAATGGAGAAAAAGTTAAAATTAACTCCTATAATGATGACTCATACAGATCCATCACCAAGCTATTGTTACAGAATAATTGCTGTTGGTACTCGTATGAGAATAAACAAGATAGGCCGATCAGGGTGATGGCAAAAAACCTTCATTCTTCCTGCCTGCCAAATAGAATAATTGAAGATCTGACAGCTCAAGGATTTAAAATAGAAGATGCTGTTAACAAACTGAGTTGGAAGAGCAAAGAGCCCCTCAGTATGTTCATGCTCTCATTCCAAAAGGATGAAGACATAAAGAAAATCTACGGAATCAAATCCATACTGGGCTGTAAAGTAGATATACAGCCTTTAAAAACTTCAAAATTAATTCCACAATGCAAAAGGTGTCAAGCATATGGCCACACACAGAAATACTGTTCCAAAGAACCCCGATGTGTGAAGTGTACAGGCAAGCACCTAACCAGAGACTGCAATAAACCTGCAGAAGCAAAACCGAAATGTATTCACTGTGGTGAGCCCCACCCGGCTAACTATAGAGGATGCATAGTAGCTAAAGAGCTACAAAATATTAAAAATAAAAATACCAAAAAGCATGAGCCGATACCAAACTCTCAGGGTCCAAGTATAATCAAACACAAAATACCTAGTGTCACCAACCTTGTCACCAAAAGTGTTTCGTATGCACAAATGGCAAAAGGAGTCCAATCTTTGCCACAATCTCATATGAAACCTATAAACCCTAACATGGATGAAAAGATTAAT